CCAGGGGCATCATTTGGGAGCCCCAAGGGGGAGCCACCCTGGCTGATCTCACGAGCCCGTTCGCGCCGATTTTGGTGGGACGTCTCAGCTAGCCCCTCCCCAACATGTATCTCTTGAGAGCCTCATGGTCACAAAACGCTGCCAGGGGCATCATTTGGGAGCCCCAAGGGGGAGCCACCCTGGCTGATCTCACGAGCCCGTTCGCGCCGATTTTGGTGGGACGTCTCAGCTAGAATTGCCGTTTGGCGCCCCCAACATGTATCTCTTGAGAGCCTCATGGTCACAAAACGCTGCCAGGGGCATCATTTGGGAGCCCCAAGGGGGAGCCACCCTGGCTGATCTCACGAGCCCGTTCGCGCCGATTTTGGTGGGACGTCTCAGCTAGAATTGCCGTTTGGCGCCCCCAACATGTATCTCTTGAGAGCCTCATGGTCGCAAAACGCTGCCAGGGGCATCATTTGGGAGCCCCAAGGGGGAGCCACCCTGGCTGATCTCACGAGCCCGTTCGCGCCGATTTTGGTGGGACGCCTCAGCTAGAATTGCCGTTTGGCGTCCCCAACATGTATCTCTTGAGAGCCTCATGGTCACAAAACGCTGCCAGGGGCATCATTTGGGAGCCCCAGGGGGGGTCCACCAGGGGCTTCATAGTCACCAAACGCTGCCAGGGGCAGCATTTTGGCTTCCCAAAGAGGAGTCGACCCGGGCCTCCTAGTCGCCAGACACTGCCAGGGGCACCATTGGGATTCAGACTCGCACCCAGACTCACTCATACACAAGCTCACTCACACTCAGATTCATTTCTTCAGAGTCAGGCACACACAGACGTATCCATACTCAGACTCACCCACACTCAGGCTCACCTAACCCAGACTCCGTCAGAAGCCAGTAGCGAAGAGAGCAGAGAGGAGAGAGAGAGAGAGAGAGAGAGAGAGAGAGAGAGAGAGAGAGCGGGAGAGAGCGAGAGAGAGAGAGAGAGAGAGCGCGCGAGCGCGAGCGCGAGCGCGAGCGCGAGAGAGAGAGAGAGAGAGAGCGAGCGAGCGAGCGAGCGAGAGAGAGAGAGAGCGAGGAAGAGAGAGAGAGAGAGAGAAGATAGAGAGAGAGAGAGGAGAGAAAGAGAGAGAGAGAGAGCAAGAGAGAGAGAGAGAGAAGCGAGAGAGAGAGAGAGAGAGAGAGAGAGAGAGAGAGAGAGAGAGAGAGAGAGAGAGGAGAGAGAGAGAGAGAGAGAGAGAAAAGAGAGAGAGAGGGGGAGTTGAGAGAGGAGACAGGCGAGAGAAAGAGAGAAGAGAGAAGAGAGAGAGAGAGAGAGAGAGAGAGAGAGAGAGAGAGAGAGAGAGAGAGAGATAGAGAAGAGAGAGAGAGAGAGAGAGAGAGAGAGAGAGAGAGAGAGAGGAGAGAGAGAGAGAGAGAGAGAGAGAGAGAGAGAGAGAGAGAGAGAGAGAGAGAGAGAGAGAGAGAGAGAGAGAGAGAGAGATAGAGAGAGAGAGAGAGAGAGAGAGAGAGAGAGAGAGAGAGAGAGAAGCGAAGCGAAAGAGGAAGAGAAGAGAGAGATAGAGAGAGAGAGAGAGAGACGAGAGACGAGAGAGAGAGAGCAGAGAGAGAGAGAGAGCGGGAGAGAGCGAGGGAGAGCGAGAGAGAGCGAGAGAGAGCGAGTGAGAGCGAGAGAGAGAGAGAGAGAGAGAGAGAGAGAGAGAGCGAGAGAGAGCGAGAGAGAGCGGGAGAGAGCGAGGGAGAGCGAGAGAGAGCAGAGAGAGCGAGTGAGAGCGAGAGAGAGAGAGAGAGAGAGAGCGAGAGAGAGCGACAGAGAGCGAGAGAGAGCAAGAGAGAGCGAGAGAGCGAAAGAGAGAGAGAGAGAGAGAGAGAGAGAGAGAGAGAGAGCGAGGGAAGAGAGAGAGAGAGAGAGAAAGAGAGAGAGAGAGAGAGAGAGAGAGAGAGAGAGAGAGAAGAGAAGAGAAGAGAAGAGAAGAGAGAGAGCGAGAGAGAGAGAGAGAGAGAGAGAGTGAGAGAGAGAGGAGAGAGCAGAGAGAGAATAGAGAGAAGAGAGAGAGGAGAGAGAGAGAGAGAGAGCAGAGATAGAGGCAGAGAGAGAGAGGCACAGAGAGAGAGGCAGAGAGAGAGAGAGGCAGAGAGAGAGAGGCAGAGAGAGAGGCAGAGAGAGAGAGAGGCAGGGAAAGACAGGCAGAGACAGAGAGAGGGCAGAGAGAGAGAGAGACAGAGAGAGCAGAGAGACAGAGAGAGGCAGCTCAGTCACACTTAAATCCAGATTTGTCCTCACCGAGTCCCACCACCAAGGGAGCGCCAGCAAGGAGATGCACATATGGGGATCCCCACGCAGTGAATAATTTGTGGGACACGGCACGCATTGATCTCTGCGAGCCATTGTGCGCGCGCAAGTCGACGACCTTCTGGTCGCCGCCAGCGCGAAGCTCAGTTACCAGACCATCAGGGAGCGATTCCCTTCTGGAGGTTGCCAAGGGCTACCGTTTATTTTCCGCGCGAAAGATGCGGTTTCTCGAGCAGATGGCTCAATCCAATTGCGCCGTGAAGCGTTCGCCGGCAAGCATGGGCCACTCGACATAACCAAGGAGCGCAAGAGGGGTCCAGGGTGCCAAGCCGCCGATTTGGAGATCGCTGAGAACAGAAGCTTGATCGGGAGCATAAGCTGGCTTGCGACCCAAACGCGACCGGACTTATCAGCAGGAGTTTAGATGTCGCACGGAGCTCAAATTTCACCAGGAGTGGCCAAATCGCGCCCAAGGCTAGACGCCACAAGGAGACTGGCGTCACCATCCCGAAGTTGGAGGGCGACCTGTGCGTCTCAGTGTTTCACGACGTTGCCTGGGCCAGCGTGGACGAGCTTGACGATGAGGCATCAGGAGCGGCGCAGCGGCGCGCGCGACGCGCGGCCTTCGCCCTGGAGGCGCCCAAGCATCTCAAGGCCAAGAGTCACGCAGGATTCCTCATCTTCGTGGCTGAGAGGAGGATCCTGACGGATGGAGAAGGCAAGGCTGCCTTCAGTGGACTGGAGGTCTGCGACCATCAGGCGAGTGTGTCGGGGCACGTTCGCCGCCGAGACCATGAGTGCAGTCGACGCGCTCGGAGCAGCCACTGCGCTGCGAACTTCAGTGCTGGACATTATTTACCCGAACATGACGATCGACGACATCGATCCGAGCGCGTTTCCTTTATAGCGCGTGACCGACGGCGTCTCTTTGTTCGACAGAATACACCGAGAATGAGCAGCACAAAACTACCAGCATAACGAATATTGATTATGTATGTGATTTGTTTGCGGGAGTTGTTTGAGGATGTGTTGTGCGAGGTAGTGTCATAGCTATCAAATCAAAGTTTGTTGTGTCGTGCGGTGGTATATGTTCGGTCGAAAAGAATGGATGGGCGCGCATATACGAGCAGCAATGAATGGCAGAGCCCTGTTTCACCAACATACACCTCCAGCATGCGATGATGATAATTACACGATATTCATTTCTTGGGTCACGACATGGCATACATGGATACGGTGGTGAATGCTTGGTGGTGAGGCGAGCGGTTTACCAACGGTTGTTTAATTGGTCGCGCCGATTCCTATATGTTGTTGTTTGTTTGCCCGCCTGCCGCCTGCAGCAAACACCCGGTACAGCTTACGTACACATGTCTTGGTCTTGTGCGTTGTAAAACGATACGCCTGCGATTTCGAACGCTGACTGCCAGTTGGCAACCCTGGTTTTCGATCTTGATGTGCGTAGCAACGCATATACATGTATATGTTTCTTGATCGACATAGGGTAACCTAATTTGGGAACGAGTGTGACAACGATGTTGTTTGCAGGCATGCGTTTGCCCCTCGTATCACCCAGCCCTCCTCCGTGTGGCATGATGGCTAACCAGGGCCCTTGAGCGATAGGCGTCTTCGGAAAACGCGTGTTTGCACACATTGCCATACGTAGCATCGCATCTGGAGTTACATCTTCACACCCCGCAATTCCCACTCCAGCATTTCGTGCTTCCTCTTCCAGCAGAGGGCCCACGGAACTCAGACTGAAGCCTCTAATATAGAGCTCGGCATCGCAATTGCGGGTCGGCGGGCTGATATTCAGGCTGGAATTCTTTACGCTTCGCGTATCCCCACCAGCCCATCTCACAGCAGCAACTCTTGCGAAGCATGCCGACAGTCGCGTTTTTCAGGCGTGTGTCCGCTTGGCCCCGCATATCTCCCCTGCCCCTCCTTCCCCCCGCCCCCATGCACATCCTCCTTGTGGGGGGAGCGGGAGAAGGACGAGGCGGAGGAGGAGGGAGAGAAAGCGTTCCTCGTGATTTGAGTCGGTTGGGGTTTCTCGTCCTGGCGTGAGTCGTTCGGGCCCTTCTTCCTGGTGTGAGTCGTTCGGGCTCTTCGTGGTGTGAGTCGTTCGGACTCTTCGTCCTGGTGTGAGTCGTTCGGGCTTCTCGTGGTGTGAGTTGTTCGGGCCCCTCATCCTGGTGTGAGTCGTTCGGGCCCCTCCTCCTGGTGCGACTCGTTCGGGCTCCTCGTGGTGTAGTCGTTCGGGGCCCGCGTCGTGGTGTGAGTCGTTCGGGCTCCTCGTGGTGTGAGTCGTTCGGGCGCCTCGTCCTGGTATGAGTCGTTCGGGCCCCTCCTTGTGGTGTGAGTCGTTCGGGCTCTTCGTGGTGTGAGTCGTTCGGGCCCCTCGTCCTGGTGTGAGTCGTTCGGGCTCCTCGTGGGGCCTCTTGGGGGCTTCTTGGAGCCTCTTGGGGGCCTCTTGGGGGCCTCTCCGTAGCCATTTTGGCTCAAGATGACCAACACGCGGGGCATTCGCCCTGGTGGTCAAAGGGATACCGCTAATCCGCGGCAGGCAGATCGGTTTACCGTTCGGCAGTCGGGCGCACGATGGTGGCATGGGGCTGGCCGCGCTCGAACAACGGTTACTGGTCCGGCAGCTGTGGCGCGGCGGACAACTATGTTACGCGCAAGAAGTGTCGGGGGTGTGGGGCCCAGGCACAACGCAAAGGATCGACGTACAAGGACGTCAAAGGACCGACGTACAAGGACGCGTTGCTGGGCCCGTCGAAGCGAGAGGTTGAGCTCCAGAAGCAGGTGGACACCATGCGGGCGCAGCTTCAGGACCTCAAGGAGCAGCAGCACGCCACCCACGAGGATGAAGACGACGAGAAGCCAGTGGACCTGGATAAGCTCTTCAGGTGGGCTCAATCGTGCAGATCCGAGTGGGGAGACGAGTCCACTGAGTACCAGCAGGCGCATGGGCGCTACATGCGGGCCAAGGACGCCAAGCAGAGCACGAAGCCGCACTCGGTCCAGCTCACCAAGGCACGGGCTGCCAGGGAGAAGCTCGAGAAGGAGGAGGCGGCCATCCATGGCGAGGTCAAGCGGCATCAGAAGGCGATGCAGGATGCGCAGGAGAAGCTCGCCAAGCAAAGTGAGCAGCTCGAGGTCGCAAAGGCCAAGGAGTCGGAGCTCAAGGTGCAGGACGTCTCCATCAAGGGTAAAGGCTTCCTCACGGCGATGCAGAAGCAGTACGAATGGGCCGTCGAAGGAAGCGGCATCAGCAAAGAGGAGCACGAGCACGCGTTCGCAGCACTCGCCAGGGTGCTGGACAACGCCAGGGAGGAGCCCAAGGAGGACAAGGACGGCATGGACACTGAAGAGGCTGGTGATGCTCCTGCTGGTGGCAGCAGCGGGGGCACAGGCGCAGCCAGAAGTGGACAAGCAGGACGCGAGCAGGGACCTCAGCTGTCGCCAGAAGAACAAGAGTGGCTACACGCACGTGGGGTACCTGAGGATGCCAGCGAAGCACAGCGAAAGAGGTGGCTCGAGGTGTGCGCCAGCCTTGCGGAGCACAATAAGCGGGCAAAGCACTCCTAGCAGGCATCGCCAGAACTAGTTCGAGAGCATCACCCTGTGGACGTTTAACGGCTCGGGGTGGGGTACCCTCAAAGAGAGGATCGAGAACGCAGAAGGGGGCCTGCTGCAGTGCTACGCAGTGCAGGAGCATCGCCTCACGGGCGACAAGATCGCGGTCGCGTCGCAGAGCATGAAGGCGAAGGGGCACCAGTTCGGCGGGGTCGAAGCGAACCCGGCGACAGGTCCAGGTGGAGAAGCAGGCACCTCGGCGGGCGTGGCGGTCGCGGCGCCCAGGTGCATCGGCATGACGTACATGTTCGGCAAGGAGAAGTGGGACTTGTCACCGCGGAACAGCCCAGGGAGGGCTGCAGCGGCATGGCTATCGGCCGGCAAGGGCATCATCTACGCGACGGTCTACCTGTGGACGGCAGAGGGGATGTCGTTCAGGAGCACGGAGATCATCAACAAGGTGATATGCCAGTTGGAAGCGCTCGGCGCGCCGTGGATAATCGGGTGCGATTCCCAAGTGGCGCCTGAGAAGATGACGGAGGTGGAGAGCGTCAAGATGGCCAAGGCGCGGGTAGTCGCGTCAGGGGCCAGCTGCGGAAATTGCAGACATGCGCACGGCGTGGCGGACAGCCTCGTCAACCAGGTGATGTACGTCAGAGTGCAGGAGGAGTGGCCGTCGGCGCCCCACAGGCCAGTGGGGTTAACACCCAGGCTCAAGGCGCAGGAGCGAATGGTCAGGGTATTGGAGAAGCCAAAGAAGCTGCCAGAGCTGGGCATCGGATGCACCCCAGCGCCGCCGCAGTATCAAGAGATCGCGTGCTTCAGGTCGCAGGAGGTGGCCAACCAGGAGTGGAGGCAGTACATGCAGACGTTGGAGCAGGAGGCCTTCGCAGCACGAGGGCTCGAATGGGCACCCGACCACCCTGCAGCAGGGCGGGCCGAGGAGCCGACGTGGAGGATCAAGCCGCTAAGTTGCGGTGGTGCCAACGCGCCGCCAGCCGCCAGGGAAGCAGTTTGGTGGAGATGGCTCGCGAGAACGCCACAGAGCTTGCAAGGGGCATACGCGAGGCTCAAGACGGCGAGAAACGGCGACATTCAGAGGCGCCGACAGGAGGAGGCAATCGCGCAGGAGCACCAGTTCATCATCACGCATCGGAGGACCAAGCACCTCAATACAAAGGAGCAGGGGGGGTGGCAGGCCAGGTGCGGACTGCTGGCTGCTGGGCAACTCCGAGGAGCGCAGCAGGAAGCGAAGTTGAAGCAATGGATGCAGGAGAGCCAGGACAACATGAAGGAGCACGACCAGAAGCTACCCAAGGAGAGGCGAGCCCGCTGGGCAGACAGGTTGCAGGAGGCGGCAGCAGGAGCAGCGGGTGGTCTACACAAGTTGAGCAAGGCTGCAGCAGTATGGAGACCGCGTAGGGCAGGCTCCATGGAGGACTCGGCGGATCCCATCGAGGCAGTTGAGTACACCCTCAAGGAGTGGAAAGTGGTCTGGAGGGTCGGCGAGCAGATCCAGAAGGTGGAGCGGCCGTGGGAGCGCGAAGAGCGTGACAAGCTCGAGCCCTTCACAGACCAGGACGTCGACAAGCTTAAGGAGGTAGCGCGCACCTTCAGGAAAAAGACGGGGGTCGGAGTCGACAGGTGGCACCCTTCTATGCTGCAGGGTGCGTCGGACGAGGCCTACGTCAAGCTGTTGGACTTCTACATGGAGGTGGAGCGGACGCTGCGCTGGCCCATCCACATGGGCACTGTGCTATTCTTCATGATCCCGAAGACCTACACCACGGACAGGGTCATCGGGCTTCTGCCCACCGCCATCAGAGTGCGGGAGATTATGCGAGAGCCGTACATGGTCGAGTGGGCCAAGAAGAACTATCGGAGCTGGGATTGCACGAGCTACGGTAAGGCGGCGGAGGACGCGGCCTGGGAGGTGTTGCTCAGCCACGAGATGGACGATGTCGAGGAGCAGAGCGAGGAGACGCAGGCGACGGTTACGGCCGTTCTGGACTTGGTAAAGGCTTTTGGGAAGGTCAGCTTGCACGTGTTGTGGGAAGCGGGAAACCAGCTCAAGTTCAACACAGGGGTGTTAGCTGTGGTGTGCTCATACTTCGCCATGACCAGGCGCCTCGTCGTAGGGGATTCAGTGTCCAGTGAGACAGAGACGGTCACCACCATCATCGCGGGTAGCAAGTTCTCGGTATGTTTCCTGAAGATGGTCATACAGTCCACGGTGGACGGCCTGGTGGTCGAAAGGCCGAGGGCGCGCTGGAGGATGTACGTGGACGACCTGCGCGTACGGCTGCGACAGCAGCATAGGCACATAGTCACGGAGTTCGGAGAGACGATTGACAGCTGCTTCCGAGGATTCGAGGGGCTAGGCTTGAAGTTCTCCGTGGGCAGCAAGGGCAAAGGTGCAGTGATGGCGAGCACCAAGTGGGCGCGAAGGGCCGTGACAGGGCCGATGCAGGAGCGAGGTTTGCCAGTGGTGAAGGCATGCCCATACTTTGGGGGTCGACATCGCCACGCACGGCGCGGCGGTGAAGACCAAGAGCGGCAAAAGGCACGCTGTCATGAAGGTCAGGAGTCGTAGGCTGCTCGCTCTAAAAGGCCGGGCGAAAAATGACCAGGGGTGTTGGCTTGGTGTACAAGTGTGGCCTGAAGCGCTCGGTTCTGTCTGGATGCAAGTGCTTGGGCATGCCAGACCACCAGCTCCGACAGCTACGGCAAGAGGCAGGGCGATTACTACCAGGGGGACGACGAGCCCGCAGCCTCACCTTGCAGCTGGCAGTGGCGCAGGAGGAGCCTACAACGATTCTCGCCCACCGGCACCGGCACCGGCACCGGCACCGGCACTGGCACCGGCACCGGCACCGGCACCGGCACCGGCACCGGCACCGGCACCGGCACCGGCACCGGCACCGGCACCGGCACCGGCACCGGCACCGGCACCGGCACCGGCACCGGCACCGGCACCGGCACCGGCACCGGCACCGGCACCGGCACCGGCACCGGCACCGGCACCGGCACGGGCACCGGCACCGGCACCGGCGCCTGCGCCGGCGGCATTGGCACCGGCACCGGCACGGGCACCAGATCGCCGTCGCCGGCGCCAGCACCGGCACTGCACCCGCACCCGCAACCGCACCGGCACCAGCCCTGGCACCGGCACCGGCACCGGCACCGGCGCCGGCGCCAGCACTGGCACCGGATGAAAAACATCATTGACATTGAACATCATGACATTTCCCAAACAGTGCTTGCACTTAGGGGGCCTTCTCTCTTCTTTCCTAGTATTAGCTGGGTCGTCTGAGGGGCGGTCTGGCGGCTCTCTCCTCCTCGCCGTTGCCGCCCTGTCGCCGCCCGTCGTCGTCTGGGCTTGAGGGGCGGTCTGGTTTTTCCGTCCTTGCCGTCGCCCCCCCTTGCTGCGTCGTCGCCGCCCGTCGTCTTGGCCTGAGGGTCGGTCTGGCGGTTCCTTGCTCGTCGCCGTCACCGTCCCGTCGCCGCCTCCTCGTCGCTGCCCTGTGCGCCCCCCCAGCGGTTGCAATCCAATCGGTTGCAAGCCAATCAAGTGCAAACCCAGTGGAATCGATTGCAGTCCAATCAATGGTAAAATTATGCAAACGCAGTTCCCCACATAAAAATATTAACAGTTTCGTGGGACCCATGGGGTACGACAACATCAACACGAAGGAGAAACTCATCGAACGAGTAAGTACGCACGAAAGGGCAGACGAAAGAAAGGAGGAGGGAGGACAGGTGCTCAGGAAACGAAGCCTTGTAAATAGTACGGGTTGTTGATACCCTCTTCGCTTTGGCGTGGCCCCGCTGGAAGGGGGGAGGCCTACGAAACCTGGTAAAGAGCAATGCTGTCCGCGACCCTCCTCGTTCAAGCGAGTCCTCCTCCTCCTCCTCGTCCTGCTCCTGCTCGTCCTCCTCATCCTCGGCATCATCATCATCATCATCATCATCATCATCATCATCATCATCATCACCAGCATCATTGTCGTCATCATCAGCATCATCAGCAGCATCGTCGTCACCCCGTCGTCGTCGTCATCATCAGCATCATCGTCGTCATCATCAGTATCAACATCATCAACATCATCATCATCATCATCGTCAGCATCATCGGCATCATCATAACCATAATCATCATCCTCATCATCATCATCAGCATCATCATCGCCAGCGTCATCATCATCATCGTCGTCGCCACCATCGCCATCATCATCATCATCATAATCATTATCATCATCATCATCATCATCAGCATCGTCATCATCATCACCATCACCGTCCTTGACATCATCATCGTCCGCATCATCGTGGACGTCATGATCATCAGCATCATCGTCGTCATCATCATCCTCAGTACCAGCAACGTCAGCATCAGCAGCAGCATCGTCATCATCACCAGCATCTGCATCATCATCCTCGTCGTCGTCGCCATCGTTGTCATCATCGTCATCGTCATCATCATCATCGTCATCATCATCAGCATCATCATCATAATCACCGTTATCGCCATTGTCATCGTCCATCACCATTATCGCCGTCATCGTGAACAGCAGTGTAACCATCGTCATCACCATCATCATGATGAAGCCTTCCTCATCGCAGAACTACCCCTCCTCCTCACCCTCCTCAGTGGGAGGAGTAGGACGTGATATGGATAGGTAATGTTCTCCCCTCCTCCTCACCCATGTTTGTGGGAAGGGCACGAAACCATTTAGATAGTATGGGTTTCCGATACCCTCCTCGCTCAGACGGGGCCTCCCTGGAGAGGTGGTAGGGGCACGAAAACATGTAAATCGCATGAGTTCCGATACCCTCCTCGCTCATGCGGGGCCTCCCTGGAGGTGTGAAAGGGGCACGAAACCATGTAAGTTGCATGGGTTTCCGATACCCTCCTCGCTCAGGCGGGGCCTCCTTGGAGAGGTGGGAAGGGCAC